AAGAAGTTCATGTGATAGAATAGAAAATTAAATTATTCTCTGCTTGTATTTTAGAGTTAAACAGTTTGCTTACTTCTTAATAATTTGAATAATGTGAGAGCAAATAAGTCCCAGAACTTTGCTGTGTTCAGTATTCCTCCCTCATTTCCATGGATGGACAGAAAGAAACGCATTGCTTTCTCTCTGTGCTGTGGCATGGTAGTGGCCTGCCATGAACACTGATGGGTTCCTTCTTGAAGCGGGGAGGGAGTCTGTAGGCTTGAGGTCACCTGACAGTCTAATTATCCCAAAGTTTCTCACCTGGTCTCTCTTCCATTTCTTTACATCCTTTCCTTCCCTACTATCCCTTTCCCTGAAATAACAATCAACTTTACTTTGATTTTAAAAGTATGGGTCATATAAGGTGTTTTGATGTGAAGAAAAGGCTTAAATAAAACTATTGAAACCATGACAGTTGATTCTACTACAGGAAAGATTTTAAAATATTACTCTGCAGAGCCATGTAGAACCAGGTGCCAGATTCTACTGAGTGATAGTCACCAGTTCCAGCAAAATAATAAAAGGAAGTCTTTTCATCTAAATACTTACATGTAAATATTTTAAGTGTTTTATACTTCTTCTGAACCCAGTAAAACTGGTTTATAATTTGGGATTATTTGGTGTTACTCATCTTTTAATTAATAGTATAGCTGGTTATTTCACAGGAAATCAATACTTACAATAATACCTTGCATTTCACTTAACAAGGTAAATCTTACTATCCTCATTTTGTAAATAAAAATTCCCAGTGTAAAGGCTTAAAGGTCACTGAACTCTAGTTACAAGCGGGAATGCCTTTAGGAATTGACTTACAAACTACAGAATGGACTAGGAAGGACAAGAGTCCAGTTACACACTCTGATGTGATTTATTATTCTAAATGCAAGACCAGTGTCCCAATATGGGTTGTATGGCAGTCACAGTGTTCATGCTGGTCTAACATAACATAATATTTGTTTTTTAAATGCTTATTCTGTGATAATATGTAACTCTTTCTATGACTCTTATTCACCCTGGTAAAGTTTATTTGACATGGGAAGGGGGCTGAAGTTTTAGATCTATACTTCTCAAATTACCTGTGAGGAAGGACCAGTTCCACCCACCTCTATCAGTTTTGAGCCAATACTTGTTAAATAAAATAAAAAGAAATTAATAAAAAAGAAATCATGCTTTTTGTTGTTGCATCAGTGTCAGATAGTCCAGAAGTTTTCAGCTGGATTAAATTTTTTTTAAAAATTGAGTCTGGTCCCTTTTGAATAGCATATAGAACACACATGGAATTCTCTCAAGCCACAGTTTTTAAAAATTTTTTAAATGTTTTATTTATTTCTGAGAGAGAGAGAGAGAGGAAGAGAGAGAGAGATAGCATGAGCAGGGGAGGGTCAGAGAGAGAGGGAGACACAGAATCTGAAGCAGGCTCCAGGCTCTGAGCTAGCTGTCAGCACTGAGCCTGACACAGGGCTCGAACCCACGAACCGTGAGATCATGACCTGTGCCAGAGTCAGACACTTAACCAACTGAGCCACCCAAGCACCCCTAAAGCCGCTGTTTTGAGAATCACTGCACCAGACTATGCTTATCTCTGTCACTGAGATCTTCAGGGAAAAGAACCCACACCTTCCTTTTTTTCCCCTTGATGATTTCTAAATCCCATTCAACCATTTTATCCAAGGATGTACTAAACCTGATAGCCATCCATAGCATTGAGCTTGCAGACCCTTTATGTTGTATGAGAAAGTCAATTTGTTTCTTTCTGCAGTTGCTCTACTTATGAGCACAATGGTAGTAGAAAACTTTGATCAAACATGAATGGTAGCTTCTTTGGAAAGAACTTCTGTGGCACTTCATATTGCCTGGATTCAGAGGGTGCCCTGTGGGGGGGACCCCAGTGTGAGTATGTAATGTAGATGTCTGTCCCGTTCCCCAGCACATTTGTTTGCAAAGATGTTATGTTGTCCTTCTATGTAAGTATAAATTGCTGTTTCCATTACCACTATAAACGAAGCATCTCTTTTATGATTCAGGCTACCAGCAAAGTTCTAAATCTTCCTTACCTGGACCTCTTCCACTAGAAGTAAGTGGTTTAATGTAACAGTTCCATTTTAGCAGAGACAGCTCCTCCGGACTAAAAGAGGTCTGAAAGGCAGTGGTTTTAGAAATAGCGGCAGGCATTGTGGCGGGCCAGGAGAAAAGAGAAACCATATGGGACTGCTGTGTTCTCTTGGAGGAAAGAAGATAGGAGGGTGATTGAAAGGAGATGCCTCAGGTGGGTTTGATCAGTTGCTATGGTTTCTAAGGGCTGTTTTAATACCAGAGGCTGCCAGCTGTGTAAGTACATTATTGACATGTAGATTTAGGTGCAGGCTACCTGGGGAAGAAATGACTGTGTGCTGCTCAGGGTTGCGTTTCAGCCTGAGACACAATCCATAGGAAAAGCTTCCATAAAAACAATCAAGAGAGTGGATTTGATGGTAAAAGAAAAACAGTGTGGAGGAAGACATTACAGTGCTCCAGAGACCATACTTGTTCAGGAGAAGTCCTGTTTCTTGTTGTCATAGACCCACTGTGCCCACCTGGGAAATGGCAAATGGCATCATTACACTCAATGAACTTAGAGTCAGAATTTCTGGATTGGAGTACGAGACCCCAAGTTAGCATCACCGCAACCTCAACCAGCCATCCCCCTTTCCTTCACCCCTGATCCCTCATCTGGTAAACATTTGCTCAGCTCTGGAAGCTATTATGAGGTTCAAATGAGATAATCTATACAAAGTCACAATTTATTTCTCTATTTACCTACAACACCAACATTCCTCCTTGTTTTTCCCTCATTCCAAAGAAGGCATGTAAGGAGACCATTTGCTTTGAGTGATTCCTTTAAAAACTGGCTATTGCAGGACTCCAGGATCCTCTAGAGTCACCATGTGTACACATCATCATCTAAGTATTCTGAGCAGAGAGCTGCATGAAGATATTTAATCTGAAGGCTCATGTTATCTACAAAATGAGGGAGGGACAGTTTATGTAGGAACGGACCTCCACGTGCACACACCCACACATCTACTTTACGTAACATGATAGGATGCTAGAGTAAGCCTTATAAAGAATTGCACATAACTATTAGAGCTTGTTTTTTGTGTAGCAATTTAAATAAATGATAAGTATCTCCTTAAAATCAAGCTAGTTGTCTTGGTTCAGACCATACAGTTGTGGTCCAAGGACAATTTTTATCACAAAGCTGAGTAGAACTATCTATGAGGCAGCATTTTCCATTGCAAAAATAGTATAATTCCCTTTATCCTGCTTCCCCTAATGAAACATTCTCCATAAACACAGCACAATGGATGAAACTAAGAAATTAAGATTGATACCATAGTATTAACTGATCTAGATAGACTTTATTCAACTTTTGCCAGTTTCCCCACCAAGGGCCTTTTTCTGGCCTGGAATCTCTAGAATCTCACATTACATTTATTTATCCCGTTTGCTTGGTTCCCTCCAATCTATAACCATTCTTTTGTCCTTTTTTTTTTTTTTTAAATCTTTACTGATGTTTGCACTTTGAAGAATACTAGCCACTCTTGTAGGATGCCCTTAAATTTTGGTTTATCTGATGTTTTCTCATGATTAGATTGAGATTATACAGCTTTCAGCAAGAAAGGGATGATGTGCCCTACTCAGTATATATTGGAAGGTAGATGATTATACTTAACACTGGTGATGTTCATGTTGATTACTTGGTTAAGGTGGTATCTGCTAGATTTCCCTATTGTGAACTTACGATTTTTCTCTTTGTAACTGATAAATATGTAATTTTTTAGATGATTTTATGCTTTCTTAAATTGATAGGCAAAGAGTCCTGTCTTGGTTAGGAAGAAATAGTGCTCTAGAAAATGATGGAGTCATTATGTAAGCATTTGAATACATTTCTCTCAATCTGTGCTGAAATAGATTGCCTGACATTACATTGCAGGATTTTTAAGTCCTACCTCCAGGCAAATCTCATAGTTACTAGCAAAAATGAAAGTGTGAAATGCTTTTTAATGTATATTTAACAACACATAGTCTGGTGATTACTGATGTGTATTCTCTGTGGACTCCCTTTGCTATCAGAGGAGGATGTTAAGAGACAACATTTTTACACATTTATTCTATCTAAATCCATCACATGTTTACTTTCTAAATATCTATAACTGTCATTTATAACAAGATCATAAAAAAAGTCAAATACTTAAAGTCTAACTCAAACTTTGAATCATAGGATTACAATCAATTTTTGGGAAAAGTACAATTACTGTTTTTCCTTACTCTACCTTATGAATTTGTCTATTAGTAAGTGACACTAAAATGTAGCTATTAAAAAAAGAGAAAAAAAACACAGCTTCGTAACAGGGGCACAGGAGGCAAAGCTACTTTCTTTCATCTTTTTAATTCAGAAAGTTATATGATAGTTCCCATTTAAAGGAATTTTCATCATTAAATCCAGTACCATGTCTGCTTGTGTTGAAGAAGCAAATTTCACAAAATGTGCTTAATTCCTTCCTATGGTGTCACTATTTAACACGGATTAAGGTACCATTTTTTGCATTTATACTGGGTTGCACAGTACATGTTCACGTCTTATACTAATATGTGCTAAATAGTTGCATTCTACATAGACCATTGTTGTTAAAATAGCAGTAGCGAAGGCATTTTACATCACAGAGCCCCAGTGGTCTACATTTTGTTTGCTTTGATGTTAAACTCAAATCTGTTTCTCTAACTGTGACTCTAATTACTACAATTGCATGGCAGAAAAGTTTGCATTGTGGGTTGACTTTTACAGACAGTGCTTGTGTGTTTTCTGCTGTCACTCTCGGTGTTTCATGAACAGACAGAGCTCCTTCAGTTGCATTGAGTAATTATGCACAATCAATAAGTTTTTGTGTTTATCTTTGTTGTTTCTTTGATGTGGCCTCTAGGATGCTGCCGGCAAGGTGCTGGACCGCTGGGCCATCATGTCTCGAGAAGAGGAAATCATCACCCTTCAGCAGTTTCTGCGGTTTGGAGAAACCAAATCCATTGTGGAGCTGATGGCAATTCAGGAGAAAGAAGGGCAGGCTGTAGCTGTACCATCTTCAAAGACAGACTCAGACATAAGGACTTTCATTGAGAGCAATAATCGCACCCGGAGTCCCAGCCTTCTTGCTCACCTAGAGAACAGCAACCCTTCCAGCATTCATCATTTCGAAAACATCCCCAACAGCCTTGCATTTCTGCTTCCATTCCAGTATATAAACCCAGTCTCAGCCCCGCTGCTTGGATTGCCTCCAAATGGGCTACTGTTGGAGCAACCAGGACTGAGGCTGCGGGAACCAAGCCTTTCAACCCAGAATGAATACAATGAAAGCAGTGAATCTGAAGTCTCTCCCACACCTTATAAGAATGATCAGACGCCTAATAGAAATGCCCTGACCAGCATTACTAATGTGGAGCCCAAAACCGAGCCAGCCTGTGTGTCCCCTATTCAGAATTCTGCCCCAGTCAGTGATCTGACCAAAACTGAACACCCAAAAAGCTCATTCCGGATTCACCGGATGAGAAGGATGGGGTCAGCCTCTAGGAAAGGAAGAGTGTTCTGTAATGCATGTGGGAAAACGTTCTATGACAAAGGTACTCTCAAAATTCATTATAATGCTGTTCACCTGAAGATCAAACACCGATGCACCATCGAGGGTTGCAACATGGTCTTTAGCTCCCTCCGAAGCCGGAATCGCCACAGTGCGAACCCTAATCCTCGCCTTCACATGCCGATGCTACGAAATAACCGAGACAAAGATTTAATTCGTGCCACATCAGGAGCTGCTACCCCTGTCATAGCAAGTACAAAATCAAATCTCACACTCACAAGCCCTGGCCGGCCCCCAATGGGTTTTACCACTCCCCCACTAGACCCTGTCTTACAGAATCCTCTGCCTAGCCAGCTGGTTTTTTCTGGGCTAAAGACCGTACAGCCAGTTCCTCCATTTTATAGAAGTTTACTCACTCCGGGGGAAATGGTGAGTCCTCCAACCTCCCTCCCAACCAGTCCCATCATTCCAGCCACTGGTACCATAGAGCAGCACCCCCCACCACCCTCTGAGCCCGTAGCACCAGTAGTGATGATGGGGACTCATGAGCCCAGTGCTGACCTGGCACCCAAGAAGAAACCCAGGAAGTCCAGCATGCCTGTGAAGATTGAGAAGGAAATCATTGATACCGCTGATGAGTTTGACGATGAAGATGATGACCCCAACGATGGCGGACCTGTGGTCAACGATGTAAGCCATGACAATCATTGCCATTCCCAAGAGGAGATGAGTCCAGGCATGTCTGTGAAGGACTTTTCTAAACATAGCAGGACCCGGTGCATTTCAAGGACTGAAATAAGAAGGGCTGACAGCATGACTTCTGAGGACCAAGAACCTGAGCGGGACTATGAGAATGAATCTGAGTCTTCAGAGCCCAAACTAGGTGAGGAGTCCATGGAAGGTGATGAGCACATTCACAGTGAAGTGAGCGAAAAAGTCCTGATGAGCAGTGAGAGGCCTGATGAGAACCACAGTGAGCCCTCTCACCAGGATGTCATCAAGGTGAAGGAAGAATTTACAGATCCCACTTATGACATGTTTTACATGAGCCAGTATGGACTGTACAACGGTGGGGGGGCCAGCATGGCAGCCCTGCACGAAAGTTTCACATCGTCTCTGAATTACGGCAGCCCTCAAAAATTCTCCCCAGAAGGTGACCTGTGTTCTAGCCCAGACCCCAAAATCTGTTACGTGTGCAAGAAGAGTTTCAAAAGCTCCTACAGTGTGAAGCTTCACTACAGGAACGTTCACTTAAAAGAGATGCATGTCTGCACAGTGGCTGGGTGCAATGCCGCCTTCCCCTCTCGCCGAAGCAGAGACAGGTCAGTAAATCTCCATTGGCTGCTCCTGCTGGGGGTGGAGGGTGCCAGTCATGTTGGACTTAACATTAAAAAATCCAACTTAGATGTTTTTGATGCACTATAAAGATAGTCTGCAGTGACCATGATGTAACCAAGCTGCCATGCTCATGGAGGATTGTTGCAGTTGATGCTTGTTATGATTAAGCATGCATAATCATATGCCATCTTACCCTGTAATGCACGCCATTTTTCTCTGTGCTCTGTGTATGTGTGTATGTATGTTTCCCCATGCATCTAGGTGTGAATAAGTTAACTATGTACACAGTTCCCTGCTTCCTCATGAAGCTTCACTTAGAAGCCGCAGCTGCTGTTATATATATTTCTGCTTTGCCTTGTGGCTTTTTAATTAAGTAAATATATTATCTTCATACACACATATTTATCCAATATAGAAACAGAAATTTACGGATGGAAAGAACCATAGGTCCAGGACATCGAGACAGCCTGCATCTCCGTAGGTATAACCAGAAATGTTATCATTCTTACATGAGTATTTAGTATGTCCTTGAATTATTTTAAGAGTCATGAAAATATTAGAAGAAAATGGGACCAAAATAATTATTAATGTGGGGAAATGGTATGGTGGTATGGATTTCTTTATTTTAACTTCACAGTGTCTTTAAGTACATCTCTAAAATACAGTCTGTCATGGGAATTATGCACAGAAGGGGAGGCATGCATATACTTTTAGGATCAGTTAGAATATATTATGTCCAGCTTTGAGATGACATCACACCTTAGCTATGTGGCTACAGCTCTGAAACAGTTGGGTTTAAACAGAAGCAGCTGGTCTTAAACCTCCAATGTTCTTTCTCAGTCCTCAAGAAAATGTAATATAAATGGAATGTATCAAGGTGGTCAGTAGTGGGGTAACACAGTTATCCTGCACTTGAGATAAACTTACGAGCAGATCATTTACATAATATACCAGCCCAGCCCAGAGTCACACACCAGTTAATTCTTCCTGTTACGGCGGATGTAGCTTTTTGGTTTTACATTGTCTTTTAAAAATAATTTTAGGCAAAATTTCATCAGGTGGGAAAAAATCAATATATGTAGAAGCAACAAGGAGGTTTCCAGATCACCACCTCCCAAATTCTAGCACTCATCAATTGACTAGAATTCTTTGACAAAGTAACATATAATGAAAGTACCACTGAAAAGTAGTGACCTTCTAGAATACCCTGTTTTTCTTCATATTTAAAAGATGAATCTTTTTAAAAATAACACTTAAAAATATTTTCCATAAGAACTGAAATGCAAGGGGCCCAATCCATTAAAAGCAAAATTTCTGAGAAAATAAATGGTTTTCTTTATACAACTCAAAATATGCTTTGAAGAGAAATCTATGTTTTTAAAGATTTCCCCTCTTCCCCAGAGAGGTATACCTTGTTGTATAAAAACCAGTTAAGTCACAAAGTTCTTTTCAGTTCTGAGTTATCTTTGACAGTACAAGAATACAGCACATAACATAGCTATAATTTGAATAATAAAGTATAGTACTGTACACAACCTCCCATCCCCAAGTTTGTGAGTAATACTCATTCTTTTATATTTGAAATAGTGCACTTGTGATAATGAGGTTAATGCATTGGATTTTTTTTAACAAAAATAAAAGACTCATGAAATCCTGCATAAAATATTTATGGAAATGGAGTGTTTGAAGACAAGCCAAAATTTAAGCTTATTTGCATGAATTCTATCACAGTTTTAGTTGGTTTGCTGAAAATACTGAAAGTCATAACACTCACATAAATGGCTCTGGGACCAAAAGGCTACAACATCCCAAAGCGTGGCGCTTTCATTTATGTCAAACCACTAGAAAACACCAGCACTTGTGTTTTTATGTCCTAATTCATAAGGAGGTACTGTTGAAAGGGCGGTTTATCTAAGGAAAAACATTCATTAAGAGCAAAAGAATATTTCCATCTCCATTTTTATTCTAGAGATTAGGATCTTGGCAGATGACAAGCTGTATGGAAGTGAAGAGTAGTGTCTAGGGTAACTGGGATATTCTAGGCATATATTCTCCCACGTGTGTTCAGTCACACAGGAGACTGCAAACCTCAGAAGACAGGTGATACATTTCATTTGGGTGAAATATCACATCACAGCTCATCTTTATAATTCTGGAGTTTTGTAACACATACATGAAGAAAAGCAAATTGAAAAAAATACTGACCAACGTTTTTTTTGATTCTCACTTAAGTTTTGCTTTTCAGGAATACACACATTTTTTGATACCAGATTTAAAAATGTAACAAAACCTATGATATTTTAATTGGGCATTTTTTCCCTTAAGAAAAGAACTCATCCTCGTTGAGTCTGTGACTTGAATTAACATATGATGCAACCATAGCTACCACCACATAATCAGAAACAGTGATGCTTTTGAGGCACCTGCCTCTTCCGACATCTCTGCAGAGTGAACTCAAACATTACTTCCACTTCAGCGTGTTACCATCACTTCTTCCATTGATGTTGACTTGGAATTTAATCTCCTCTTTCACAGAGCCTCTTGAACCACATCTCTGATCTACCCCTCAGACTTAAACTTTCTGTTTCTCTTCATTTTTGCTGTATTAATCGTGAGAACCCTTGGAATTTTGTGCCCCTCCTTTTTTCTTCTTCAATTCACTATAAAACTAAGACAAATTTCCTTACCTTTCTCTGAACCAACAGACCTTCCCAAACAGAAACCCTTCCTTGCCTTTAATCCTGCTGTCCTTAGGCCTATTTCTTTCCTTTCCCCAGAGTCTTGATTCATCTATCCTGGACTCCACAGTGTCTTCCTTGTGCAAATAAAGCATTAGAGGGGATTTTGATTGGGGGCTGAAGTGTGCAAGGATACAAGATATCTAGTGATAAAACTAACAGAATAACCCTCTTTCTTCTGTTTATAAAAGCAGTCTTCTTGTCTTGGGGCTTAGAACACATTACAGGAATGATACACAGGTCTTCTTAGGCTTTTTCCAAAATGGCTGTACACAAGGAGGAATTGTATTTTTGGTCTCCAAATAGGCATGTTATTAGTAAGATATAAGTAGAAAGATGTTAAACACTGTGTTTTAGATTTGGCAATTAGAGATTTTCAGGTCTGTCTTTAGGTCATTCTAGACTTTATAAGATGAAGTTGAAACCTTTTCGAAAAGCAGGAGCATTCTTTGTCTAAAGTCATACAAAAGGAGAAGCAGTGAGGAGGAGGTATGTGCATGGTTTGTTAGGGCTAACTCTAAGCACCATGTTGAAGGTATACCTTTTCTATACAGTTGTGACTGAGTGTGAGTATAATAAATTCAAAAGCAAAGACACTAACGACAGAGAGCAATATACACAAAATTCAGTTCATCCAGTCACTAGGTGGTTGTTGGAATAATTTTTTTCTGAGTTATAGAAGTGAAATATAAATTATTTTCTCTGTGAATGACTATGTTACTAATAGGTAATTGCTAAAGTGTTCTAAGTATATACCAATGATGCTCTGTAGTATTAGACCTGACACTCCCTAAGCACCCTTCCTTCCTTCTTGTTTATCCCTGGACTTCTTTGCTACTAAGATAGTGTTCTTTCAGGGATTAGGAAGCTGACCCTCAGTTTTGAGGTATACATATGAAAAACTCCCTGGGAAGAAGAAATTATAATTAACTGGCTTAGAACCTAGTCTTCATAAAGGAAATTTTCTCGAAAACAGTGTCATCATCAGAATTAGCTAGGCCTAGTTTACTTTACTCATTTTTCATCATCTGTCTTGAATTTTGATCCCTAGGAGGGCTGAGTGGCCATGGATCAGCTGTGATAAGGGAAGCTCATTTATAAGTTACATTTGATTTTTATTAAAATAACACCACCAACAACAAATAAATGCCCTCTGTCCTCTTCCCTGAGATTCCTTATCATTTGCTAATACATTAAAATCTATATCTGTTTTAGTGATTGGCAATTTTAAAACTCCCTCAACTAAAATGAAGACTTTGTACACTGAAACTATATGATCTGCTTAGAAAGAGCTGATATCTCTCATTTTACATCTTACATGATCTTTACCATCTTTGTTCCTCTTTTCTGAGAATAGTGGCAACTAATTGTCAAAGTTTATCTTAAATTTTATTAGGAAGGTAAGCATATAATATTTAAACTTCAAGGTGTAGGAAAGATTCAGCCCCATGAATAAATTTAAAAACAAAATAATATTTGCTTAGGGTGATTTATAAATAAATATGAGGCAACTATTGGTGCCAAGTGTGAACCTTCTCTTTGATTGCTAGTTAAATCAGTCCAGATTTAAACATGTAAACCTCTTGATTTGTATGGAGGAAGACATCTGTATTTGGTTTATTAAAACCTGCTGATGTCTCCAGAACTAAATTTGTTCCTATATAGGCCTCTGGGTAGCTGTAGCTAAAAAGCAGAGATGTATAGTTTTTGCCTGTCTGATTACCTGACTTCCAGCCCTGTACAGGTGTGCAGGAATAAATTAGCGTGAGCTACCTCTGATGAGCCACTGCATACATTAACAACAGAGGTGAGGATGTGAAAACATGCTACCTGCCTCCTGTTACCACCCTCTCAGCAGCCGCATCCATTTTTTCCATCATTCTCTATGTTTGGAAACTTACAGAGAACTTTTCTAAAGAGAGATTTTCAATAAATGCACATGATTTCGTTACCTTCAAGAAATGAACCACTTAGCACCAGTTCAAGATAACTATTAGTATATTTGCCTTAATAAAATTAGCTGTCAAATACAGAGTGCTAATTTTCTTCAAGTACAAGAAGAGAACTTTTAAGACATCAGCAATTTCATTTTCTATATGTTTGCCAATCAAACTGAAACTCCTTTTCCAAAAATCTTTTCTAAAGTGAAGTTGTACAGGTCCTCTGGCACTTAAATATTAAGGAAGAGATTTCCCCCCCTCTCTACTCTATTTGGTTTCACAGTAGAAGCCAGCAGATCAATAGGT